AAGTCACCAACTACCAAAAACTATTAGCTGTTCTGCCAAGACAGAACTGAGGAAATGAAGGAGTCATGGTTAAGTATGTATTAGAATTAGCTATATTTTACTGTTATAGCAGATTTTCTTTTTACTTTTGATCATTATGATGGCAAATAATGTGAAAATGGAAATACATGAAAGTAGAGGGTCAGCAAGGGGAGCCAACGCAGAAAAAGAGCAAATAACATTGCAGTTAAGCCTATCTACTCAAGACCTGCTAAAGCTCCCAGAAACTCACTTTATCACTGTGCTTCCAATTGTGATTCACTATTGAATAATGAGGAGGTGGGATACAGAAAGATTCCTGTAGTCAAAAGCTTCTCAAATTTCCTCAAACCTCACAGAATTAAACAATAGGCAAGGAGGGCACACTCATTCTATACCACTGTGGTATGCAGAATTCTAAGATGACCATCAAGAGTCTCACCTTCCTACTACTTGTGTACACTTGCTTTATAATGCCTTCTCCTTGAGTGGTGGCAGGGCTATGAATGTGATGGATTCTACTCCCTAAGCTGCTGTATCACAAAGGTGAAGGAATTTTATAGCTGTAATTATGAGATCTTAAATCAATTGTGGAAGGATTAATAATAAAAAAAGGGATTATCCTGGGTGGGCCTGGCCTAATCAGATGAGTGTCTAAGAGAGGCTGGACCCTTCTTGAAACAAGAGATTCAAAGTATGAGAGAAATTTTCCTGTGGGCCTTGAAGAAGTAAATTCCCATGTTGTGAGAGGGAAGGGCTGTGTGGGAAGAACCTGCGAGTAGCCTCTAGGAACTGAAAATGGTACCCACCCATCCAAAGCTACTGAGAACTGAGGACCTCAGTCACACAACCACAAAGAAATGCATCCTGTCAACAACCTATAAGCCTAGAAGACTCTAATGAGATATGACTCCATTTCAGCCTAGTGACATCCTGAGCAGATTGTTAATCCATAGAAACTATATGAAATGGTAACTCGGTTATTTTAACTCACTAAATTTGTAGTATTTGTTAAACTGCAAAAGAAAACTAACAGAATAACCATCCTCTTACTCAAATAAGTACAAAATAAATGCTCAGCAGTCTGGTATTCAAATCCTCCATTTAATTCGTATTTGCCTTTCAAGACTTATCTCCTTATACATGTATTCTCTCCCTCCTCATCTGCTGACCCCTGCTAGCCCTCTTTCACACTCACTAGACAGAACAGCCTTGTGGCCTACTCCCCAATCCCCCAAACACCAAAGAATGCACCTCAACTCTCCTTCCTCCTCTTCTCACTTTAGCACAGATGAGAGAAAACGTTCATTCAACGTGCACTGTCTCTCCCGCATTACCAACACTTAGCCCATTTCCTCTTTGCTGAGTTTCTACTTTTCTTTTAAAGATCATCTCAGATGCATCTCCTTTAAGAATTTTCCCAGTGGAGATTAACTACTCCAACCTAAATCCTGTGTTCCAACAGCACTATCACATTCTACTTTAGAATACAGTTAGTTGTACATAGCATTACCATTAACAATGTTTGTTTGTTGTATGCCTAAGTAAACAAATAAATGATGGAGCAATTTAAGGGAACTTTCATGTCATACTTACTTTAAAAATGAGATACCAGCAAAGGTATCAGGTGGGAGAAAAAGAAGTATCAAGGCTGATATGAATGTTACTCTAGAAAATGCAAAAGAACAAAACATCTTTTTTTCTTTTTAAAGAGAAATCACCAAATTTCTTTCTACTACAAAAACATTTCTACCTGGAATGTAATTTCGTTTTTATTTGTTTTAGCTTTTATCTGAGCTTTGTTCTTCCCCTTTAAGCCTCCTCCCTTAATTCATACTCACAGTGTTACAGCACCGAAAACCAAATGGTCTGTTGTGCGAGCACCTTCCATAAAACTGGGACATGTAACCCATTCCCCACCCCATACCTACCTTTTGAAAAGTATATGTTTATACAACCAGACACAAATGATTAATAACTTACTCAGGCCATATTCCGCACAATGACAAATAAATTGCTAGGAATAAAGGAAGTACCATACAAACTACTTTCATGTTCTACATGATGGATTCAAACAAACAAACAAAAAACCGAAACCCACTGCCATCAAGTCAGTATTGACTAATGAGACTGACCATTACAGCAGAGTAGAACTGCCCCATAAGGTTTCCAAGGTTGTAGATCTTTCCAGAAGCTGACTGCCTCATCTTTCTCCCAAGGAACAGCTGGTGGGTTGGAACCACTACCTTTACGTAGGGCTTGCTATATTTTGAAAACAATGGCAAACCTCTGCCACTGCTTTACTGTGATTTATTTTTTCATATTTTGTAACAATAATTATTTTGAAATGTTTATGTTACATATTAAAAAAAAAAAAACCTGTCAAGTGGATTCCGACTCATAACGACCCCCTGTGGGTTTCTGAGGCGGCAAATCTTTACAGAAGTAGATTGCCCCATCTTCCTTCTGAGGAAGGGTTGGTGAGTTTGACCACCACCAACCTTCTGGTTAATAGGCAAATGCCTTAGGCACTATCAGTGGGTTTTTTTTTTTTTTTCCTTTAAAAAAAAAAAAGGTCACAAAACTTTATACAGAGCAATAGTGTTAACTTCAGGTCCTTACTGCAACAATCTTGTTAAAAATAAGGAAATAAATTAAGAGCAGTAACACATACTAACAGCACCAAAAAAACAAAAATTAAAACACGGAGACAAACTATAAAACTCAAACACAAAAACTACAAAAGGCATTTAGAACCATTTAATACAGTAGGGATAACAGCCAAGCCAATTTCTTTATTTTATCAAAGTAAACCTAGTGTTCAAACTGTCCCTTCTTAGATATCCCACTAGCACTTAGTTTATACCCTGTTAAATGTAACATGTACTTTGCCTCATGCGATGTTTCTTCTTTTAACCTGGTCTTATTCCCACTAAAAAAATAAAATTCTTTGAAAACAAGTGCCATGTTCTCTTTGTTTTGGTATTTTAGGACAATGTGACCATAACAAATTACTGATCTAGAATCAGACTGAATTTTAATCTATTCTGAAGATGAAACACTTTACATAAATATGTAATGTAATTCTTAATAAGCAAGATAATTTCTTTACACATTGATTACTACGAATGAAAAAAATATTTTAAACTTCTTAGAAAATAATCATTATTTTGCTTATAAATTAAGAGATACGATATATTTTCCCTCAAGTTAAATGTGATTTTTCTGACAGAACAGTGATCTTTCTCTAAATTTTCATTTCATTAATAGCATAAACTCAAGTGTACAACTTATTTTGAAACTTTTATTTTCAAACATACCAAAAGCAAAAAATTTTAGAAAGACTACACTTACATGCTTCTCCAATATTCATCAAATGTTAACATTATAAACCAACCAAAACCAAACTCACTGCCATCCAGCTGAATCCAACTCACAGTGACCCCTCCTTGGATTTCCGAGGCGGTATCGCTACAGAATTAGATTCCCCAGTCTTCCTTCCGAGGAGTGGCTGGTGAGTTTGAACCACCAGCCTTCTGATTAGAAGTCAAATACCTTAGGCACTACGCCATCAGAGCTCCCATTAATATTATACCATACTGTATTTGTTTTACACACACACACACATATATGCATGCATGTATTAAGTTTGACTGAATTATTTGAAAATTAGTTATAGATATCACAACACCTAATCCAAAAACGTTTTATTCTAATACCTCGCTCCTAAAAATTCCCTTAGAAATTAATCCTACAACATCACAGAAAACAAACAATAATTCCATAACAACAATCACTGAAAGGTAAACTGTTCTTTAATACTGCTACTTAAAAATTATTTCCAAATTGTTGCTAAAAAGAAAACAAGGGTAAATAAAAATACAGTTTACAAATTTAACAAAAGCAATAAAAATTTTAGATATTTTTAAAGAGTTCTTGCTGTAAAGCAGTATGTTTTACAAAATCTATGAAAACAATTTCTTAAAATATACCGCATGCTTTAAAGTTAGTCTCTTTTGCCTATGATGTTAAAATTGCCCTTAATTTTGTAGGCACTGTAAATACCATTCTCGTCTATTTCCATTGTAAATGTAGTTCAAATTCTATACAAAGGGATATCCTTGCTCCAGAACATACACTAATGTTTTTTAATTTTTAAGTTTTTTTTTTTTTTCTTCAAGAAAATGTATTAAAATATCCTGTTTGTTAAGATCTGACTGAATTTTCCAGTATGTTATCCCTTATATCCTGAAAGGAAAACTCATTTCCACACCAAATGATATGAAACTATTCTCTCTAAATGGTTTGACAAATGACTTAACCACAAGATTAATTGCCTTAGTGCTTGCTTATTGATCTAGGAATCAAAGGCCAAAAGGCTACTTCAACAATAAAGAAAATTAGCCTTTAAACTATAATTAACTGAGATGAGAAATTGTAATCAGAAAAAGAACTCAAAATAAACACATGTGATCACTATAGTGAGTTCTGAAGTATTAGGAGTACCAAAATGCTTGATAATAACCAAATGAACTGCCATGTTTTAATATACTTTTGGCTACTGGTTTCACATCTGGAAAGTAGTTCTGTAAATAAAATTAAACTCCTTTAAAATAATCCACCAAAGCTCTTAGGGAAAGGTAAATTTATCTTTCTTCTTCGTCACACATTTCTAGTATCTTCAAATTAACTTTCTTTTTTTTTTCCTTCTATTAGTGAATGACTTTATTTTTTCCCAAACACCATAAAATTGATGAAATGTTAAGAAATTTAAATTAGACTTATTTTTATAATATGCTCTTTTCTGAATCTAAGTTCTGCTTTGCCAAGAGCTCATTAAAATTATGTGACAAAAAATTTCAAAATTTTAAACATGTAACTAGTATATTTTTATATTCAATGATTGAGCTGTACTGTATATTTAAAGTTTGAGATATAAACAACAAATATCAACTGGTGAGAGAGATTCAGGTTTTACTTACATTTGTGATAGCTATAGCATTTTTATCGTAGAATTTCTTCTTTTCATATTTATCTCTGATGAAAAATTCCACCGCTCTGAAAACAGATAACTTAAGGAAAAGCTTGAGTTCATTGACATATATGTTTACCTTTACACACTCCATTCCATAAAGCTGGTACTCTAATTTTCCCACTCCCAAATCTACACTTTCTCTCACACTATTTCTACAACTTACTTTTCTTTCAGGCAAAGGAAGTCTACCTTTCAGGAAGTTTGCCCATTCAACAAAAACCACCTGAGCTAATTCTAGAAGCAAAAGTAACTAGCCACAAATTTCAATCCCACTCCATCTTACATATTATGCTTTCCACATCATAGATGAAAAATCGGAAATTTGGAAAGATTAAGCAATTAGCCCAAGGTAATAAATATGCTTACGTAACATACTATACAAAACATTGTTCCACCTCCTACTTTGACGAATAGCGACTGGGATCTTAAAAGCTAGCAAGCTGCCATCTAGATGCAACGATGGGTCTCTCCTCATCCAGCGCAAAGAAAAATGAAGAAAACCAAAAATTCATGGAAACAATTAGTCCTAGCAACTGGTTCACCATCCAATCTACAGCCTATATGACTATGAGACCAGAAGAACTAGATGGTGCCCAGCTACCAATGTCATCCATTTGGAAGGGGATCTATGTAGGAGATCCTTGATAGAGAGGGAGAACAATGTGGAACAAAACTCAAAATCATTTGGAGAAAAAAAGGGGGGGGCAGGTTTGCTGGTCCAATAGAGCCTGATGGAACCACTGAGACTATGGCCCCTAGCTGCCCTTCAGGTCTGGAATTGAACCCACACCTGTGGATTCCAGCCCAACAAAAGACAGGAATGAGTTGAAAATTTACCTGGAGTAGATACCCCTCCTTAGACAAAACAATCACTGGAGATTTAACTTCTAGGTCTTAATGTTAATAAATGTATTTTGATAGTCAAATGTTTTTATACATAGAGCCCCAAGTAGGGGGAGCAATAGTTAGGAACTATTGCAGTAAAAGACTACTAAGATGGCTTGCATATCACCAAGTTTAAATAGATGAGTAAATGAGAAGCAACAACAAAAGAACAAATTTAGAATGAAGAAATACTTACCTTCATTTTTTAGTCTCCAGGTGTCATTTGAGACATGTAATGCAATGATACAACAACAACAAAAAAAGAACTATAACAATAAAGTTTTCAAGAAATCGAGGAAGGCATATACTTATGGCAATTCAAGTTTAAATTGTTAATCTGAGATTTAGTAAATAAAATGAACAAAATATCCCAGAATCTTCTCCACACCTATAGTTCACAAAACATTTGTTACGGTACTCCTAATCTCCTCATCCCCAAAGCCAGCAAACGGTACTACACAAGCCCAGAAAAATTTTAACATTATTACGTGTATTATCTCTTTAACATATATTTGTATCTAAGATTTATTTATTTATTTAAAGATACCATTGGAGAGACAATTAAATTAAAACCTACCCCCAAAGAAAAAAATCTAGTTCCAGGCACATACTACTGACAGCAATAAAGCTTTGAAAAGCTCAAATAACCTCAAAGGAGAAGTACTGATTAGCTTTGGTGCACAATAGATCTCATGGAACTGAAGTAATTAAAATTTTTAGATAGATGAAATATCCTAGTAATGAAAAGCTTAATGTAAAGCTTTATCATTTGTCATGCACTTGAACATGCAGCCTATAATTAACCACATCCCACATGAGAAATTACACTTTCACAGCAGCTTTTGCCTAACTTTTGTAAATTGTAAAGCTTTTAAAAAGTGACAAATCTTGTTAAGAATGCAGTGAGGTCCCATATTATGTGAATTTAACTCAGTTTGGTTCCACTTGCCTCTAGGGATGAGACAGCTATATTTAAATCTTTTAGAGTACTGAAATGTTAGGTTTTCAAAAAGCACTGAGCTAGAATGATAACAAGAAACAAGAAAGGAGACTGGTTTCTTGTTAGGATCCTTTATAAAACAAAAAAACACTACCATCAAAGTCGATTAGTGATCTTATAGGAAAGAGCAGAACTGCCCCACTAGATTTCCAAAGCTATGTCTTTACAGACGCATGTTGTCACATCTATCTCCTGTAGAGTGGCTGATGGGTTCAAATCACCAACCTTTTGTTTAACAGCCAAGCGCTTAACCACTGCACCACGAACGGCTCCTTTATAGACCTCCAAATCACAGCGTTTTATAATTAAAAGAAGAAATAATAAAAATAAATGCTATTATTACTATATCGATTTTAGGTTTAAAAAAAATGTATGATTATGTATCATCAAGGAGGAGCTCTGGTGGCACTATGCCTAAGGCATTTGACTGCTAACCAGAAGGCTGGAGGTTCAAACCCACCAGCCACTCCTCGGAAGGAAGATGGGGCAATCTACTTCCATAGTGATAGTGCCTCAGAAACCTCAGAAGGAAGGGTCGCTTATGAGTCGGGTCCAACTCAACAGCACATAACAACAACAACATTAGATATAGGGGTTAGTCTCATGGTTCAAGAGATGTCATTTTATAATCATTGTTAGTAATCCTATACATCAAATTTTTTAAAAAAAGAAAGTTCTATTTAAGTAGTTACTGACAGCTATTAAGTTTTTAATGAACAGTAAGAAGCCAAGACCTCATATAAATATGACCATAATTTTTTAATGCTCTGGAAGAAGTAAAAATATTTAGGTTGAGAAATAAAATAAACTTGCTTCAGGTAACAATAACAAACACACCCATAATGCAAAAGCCTAACATGAATTAAACCAAGTACTGAAAAGTTAAACTCTTCACTTACGATCTAGTTGCAAAGAGTCTCAAACTATAAATCTATTTTTAAGGACCACCAAAATTAAAATGTGACAACACCGATTTTACTCAGACTCTGGTGGTGTAGTTCCTAAGGCATTCAAGTGTTTGGTGGTTTACATTAGCCACTCCACGGAAGAAAGACTGCGCAATCTACTTCTGTAAAGATTTACCATCTCGGAAACCCAATTGAGGTTACTATGAGTCAGAATTGACTCAACGGTGGTGAGTTTGATTTTATTACCTTTAAATAATATTTCAGTGTCCTGATATAATATTCCTGGGCAATGCAAAGTGTTTGCCTTTGACTACTAACAGAAAGTTGGTGGTCCAAACTAACTCCACAGTGCACCAGAATAAAGGCCTGGATATCTGCTTCTGTAAAGATTATAGCCAAGGAAACTCAGTGAACCTCAGTTCTACTCTGTAATAAATGGGGTTACCAAAAATCGGTCTCAACTTGAGAGCAATGAATTTGTTTGGTTTTGATTCTTACATAGGAGGGAATTCTGGTGGCTTTGGAAAGTTTCTTAACAGTTTCTCTCTTTGTAATAAGAGAAAATAACATGCTCTATCTAATTAGATCATATTGAGAATTAAAAAAGATAATGCATTAAAAAATAGATAACATACATAAAATGCCAAGCTCAGTGTGTGGAACACAGCAAACCCTTATTGAGCAATAAAGGTATTTCAGCTGTTGTTTTCCACACTGTATCTTCACTGCATCAAAGTTCAAGGATTTGTTGTTGATAATGCACAACAGATAGATTTTCACTAACAAAATCTATCTGTATTGGGATTTGTAGATTAAAAAACAAGTATTTTAAAGCTGATCAGCAAAAATACCAGAACCATGTGTACATTTTCACCACAATAGAAGCTAATATAAAGGGAGGGTGTTTAGATCTGACTTTAAGGGGGCAATGAGTTTATGTTAACGAGGGAGGAAAAACTCAGAAAAGGAAGATGAGAACAGTTGCACAACTTGAAGAATATAATCAATATAATTAAACTGCACATGTAGAAACTGCAGAATTGATATGTATTTTGCTATGTATATTCTCAGCAACAACAACAAAATAAATAAAATTTAGGGTGGAAAAATTATATATATATATATATAGGAGCTCTGGTAGCATAGTGCCTAAGGCACTTGACTGTTAACCAGAAGGCTGGCGGTTCAAACCTACCAGCCACTCCTCGGAAGGAAGGCTGGGCATTCCTACTTCCATAGTGATACTGCCTCAGAAACCCAAGGAGGGGTCACTATGAGTCGGGGCCAACTCGATGGCAAATAACAACAACAACAACAAATATATATTATATATCTCACAACCAGTAAGTCACTATGCCATTAACACTTTCTTTCTCTAAGGTTTGATATAAAACTGCTATGAGATACTTAAGAAATGCCATTTTTTACCAAAATGTACAAAATATGTACAAAATGAACTCTTCATAGAAGAGCCAATAGATGAAGATACCCAGAAGTTATATACTGTCTTTCCATAAATATCTTATGAGCCTTATTTAAAAAGCAGAATCAAGGTGATAGATTAAATAACTTAGAAACTGCTTTCATCCAAGATACCACATAAAGGACACAATTAAACCTTTCAAGAATCTCAAGTAATTTGTAATACTCAAGCAAGAACAACCACCAAAAAAACCCAAATCAACCAAACTCATACCACCCTTCCTGAAAAGGGGTATGCTTCAACTTGAAGGGTCATAAATGTTAACTAAGGCTTTTAGGGAGAAGCTGAAAGTAGGGAAATAAATTAACTCATATTTCAAATACTCAGTAAAAACCACCTAAGACATTAATTTGTTTGGCTGTACTTCCACCATTGTCTATTCCCAGGGTTCTGCCCTAGGCTTTCACTTTTCAGAGGAAGAGGACTACAGCATTCCCAAGATCCTCAGAAAGACCACACACAAAAAAAATAAAGGACCACAGCCTGCAGTGACCTCATCCAGCATTTTATATTCCTTGCATGCTAACTAAGTCTGTTGTTGTTATGTGCTGTCAAGTCGGACCCGACTCATAGCGACCCCTCCTTGGGTATCCGAGGCAGTATCACTACAGAAGTAGATTGTCTCATCTTCCTTCGGAGGAATGGCTGGTGGGTTTGAACCACCAGCCTTCTGGTTAGCAGTCAAGTGTTTTAGGCACTACACTACCAGAGCTCCTTAAGTAAGTCTATAATCTACATTTACTTTTCTCTTCTGGGGTTCAGACTCTTGTTTCCAGCTACCAAATGAATATCTTGACATATACATCCAACAAACACCTAAACATTCCAAAGTAACAAAACATGGCTCATTATCTTTCAGTCCCAACCCTTAAACCTCTGTTACTGAATTCCTTCTCTTAGTGAGTAAGTTTTATAGTCACCCAAACTAGAAGACCTGAAGTCATCTTAGTTTCTTCTTTAAAATCAAAGCCAATCTTCACCTAGTTCAACTGTTCTTCCTTAGTAATTTCTTTCCAGTTCCTTCCTGTCCATTCTCAATACTACTACCTAACTTATATTTTTATCACTGTTCATTTCAACGCTGCATTAGGTCTCGCTGTTGCCAGGATCTCTACCTAACTCCAACTCATCTTCCGTGCGGAATATGTTAATAGTTTTAGTGTTTCTCCTATTTCGAAACCATTCATGGCTTCCCTCCGGACCAATTAAATGAGGCAAAACTGTTCTTTCTGGCAGAGAAAACCCTTCACAATCCAGACCAAAACAGCTTTCAGTTTCTCTGCCACTTGTTCCACAAAACTCAAACCACATCAAACTTTTTAAATGTTGTTTCCTATTATGTTCATACTTTCAATTCCTTATACCCAAAATGTACATCCCACACCCACTGTAGAATCTTTCTATAACAAAATTAACCTTGGCTGTCAGATTGCTGAATTTGTAGGAGGGGTTGGGGGCACAGGCAGAAAAAGTCAAATATAAGGTACTAAGTTTCCATTATAACTTAAAAAGTTCCTGTCCAAATATGAAAACAAATAAAATGGCATGAATCTCTGTGAGAAAAGAACTCATTTTTCTAATGTTTGACCTTACCAACTATTTAAGTATATAAATAGCTAATATAGAATTGATTTTAAGAAACTAATTATATTGTCAAAAACATACATGACACCTTCTGCTGGAAGCACAAATAACCCAAAAAAGACCCACTACTGTCAGAGTTAATTCTGACTACAATGACCTTTATAGGACAAATCAGAACTACCCCATAGGGTTTTTAAGGCTGTAATTTTTACAGAAGCAGACTGCCGTATCTTTCTCCCAGAGAGCAGCTGCTGAGTTCATACCACAGACCTTTCGGTTCACGGTCAAATACTTTAACCACTGTGCCACCCAGGGCTCCTCCAGAGTCACAGATACCTATACCCAACTAGATAATCTTAGATGACACAGATGGTTAAATGCTTGCCTACTAGCTGAGAGGTTGGTGCTTTAAACCCACCAAGTAGCATCTCAGAACACAGATCTAGTGATTTGTTTCAGAAAGCTCACAGCCTTGAAAACCCTACAGGGCAGTTCCACTTTCCACACAGAGGGTAACCATGAGTTAGAGTCAACTCAACAACAACTATCAACAGTTTTGGTGAGATAGCTGAAACTTCAATATGAGTTCTTGTTATTAGGTGGTATCAATTCACATCAACTGAATCAAATTATTTTATCTTTAAGAAATGTGAAAACATCCTGACTAAAATATCTGTGAGAAAATATTACATCTACTCATTGGAGGAGAGTCATAAAGCAATGGAGCTATGCAGTCTGTGGTAAAGACGGACTATCAGCAGTAAATACTAGCATGTATTACTTTAGCACTTCCAATTACTAAATGTGCCATTTGCCTTTTATATGTATACCATGTGAAAATGCTACATATATTATTACATAAGGATGATCAAAGAAGATCCCTTTAGAAATGAAAAAAAATTAGTAACAAAAACTTTAGTACTTAGGATGTTCACAAACCAAATCCCTAATAATAGTCTAAAATAGCATACAACACACACACTCTAATCAAGAATTGAAGATCAAGCAAGAAGAACTACTCATAAAATTTCACACTCAGTAATAATTACAAAAAATACATGTGGATAGTATATTTTGTGGATAGTATATTTATGAGATTCCTATTAAAAAACCTACTATATACAAAGCACAAGGAACCCTGGTGGCACAGTGGTTAAGCGCTCGACTATCAACCTAAAGATGGACAATTCAAACCCACCAGCCACTCCACAAAAGAAATAAGTGGCAGTCAGCGTCTACGAAGATTACAGCGTTGGAAATCCTGTGGGGTAGTTCTACTCTGCCTTACTCAGTTCTATAAGCTGGAATTCACTATCAATGCCCAACCTTAGTGAAGAGAAGTATAATGCACATTTCCCTAAAAACCAAAAGATCAATATGAACAGAAAAAAGAGGTGGTTTCTTTTTGAAACCCACAATAAACAAACTTTAAAGGATACTGATCTGTCTGCGGTCTTCGAAAATTCTCTGGAAGATTAGCTTCATAGATTAGTCTTGCTTTAGTATTTCCCATATCTTGCATGCACTACAATAAAAAATTTTTTTTCATTACTCACATATACACTAAAATATAATTCCTATATACACATATATGCACAAATATTTTATTTATACGACGGCACATAACAACAACTACAACATATATATATGAACAAATGCCAGGTAACATTTATTATTATCAAAACATAATCTTCACATTGAAAAAATACTTAAATCATAACTGAAATAAATTATTCTTGAGTTCAAAATATAAACATTTTTAACTCTTCAATTTTCAACATATGCAGAACCACAATTTATCTTAATTTTTTATCTATGAAAACAATCTTATCTATATTTATACTTACTACTTCTTAAAGTGGATTTCCTGGTACCTTGTGGGCAGTGTTATTATTTTAATATATCACTTGAAAAATGATGTCTTTCCAGGGCTAAGACCTCAAGATCAAATTTTTTGTGTTTTGAACTTCAAAATATTCCTGGATTCTCGTAATTTACAATCAAGATCACAAGGGAGGCCAGATAATCCATGAACTCCAAGGGTATGAAGCACAGCTTAGTCATACAATAATTCAATAATCATTTCAACTAATTTAATTAATCTTCAGTACTGTTTATGAATAAAGGTGAGCCAAACAGTACACATCCTTGATATCCTATTAATTAGAAACTAAATGTAAGATTTACAAAATAATATAACGGTTTTATTTTATATCATTTACATAAAGGTTAAATTCCTCAAAATGTTATCACTGGTACAGATCTATTTTTACAATTCCTTTTATTTTTTTAGATTTCCTAGAACCCTCCCTCTCAAATAAAACAATCCAGGTTTCCCAGATTACTAGACATCGACCTTAAGTGGTAGTTCTCAAGAACATACAGAACCACTTTTGTTCAAAGCAAGGATAAGGATAAAGTTCTTCCAACTAAGAGAGTCTTAAGGTATGTCCAATTATAATGTTAACTCACTTCTAAATATCTACTCCACCACCAATTCAACACAAGTACTGTTTCAAAATAAACTAGATTTCTAAGTCATTCCTCTTGAGATGATGACAAAGTAAAGTAATAGGGGTGAGAAGCGTAAGGGATGAGAAAAGGATACTCAGCCCTGGAGAAAAATTAGAGGCCAAGGCAAAATAAACCAAACTTCAAAACTGTATAAGGTAAACAAACAGAAGCAAATCAGAGGGCTCTACTATGGTGTACACAAGAAAATTAGTGTAACAAATATGTAATTCTGTGTGTGGAAATAAAAGTTGAGAAGCCTCCAGTAAACTCGCCCTACCTGAAAAAAGATTACACAAAATGTTTTCCAACTCAGATACTGAAGTGATACTACATCATTGTGTCAGAGAGGGGATGTGGAGTCAGAAACGGTTTAGTTATAAATTCATAAAGGCATTAAGACTTTGGGGAGAACTAGCCAAGAAAAAAAGTACCTCTTAGTTTATACAATACCTGCAATAAAGAAGAAAGTAAATTTAGATACAGCTCACTGAAATGGGAGAAAAGAAAATCTGAGACATTTCTATAAAGCAAGCAAGAGTAAATGGAAATTTTAACAGAAATTATTAAGATTTAATATGGCATCTATTATATATACCATGTTTCATCAATCTTAAGTTTCTTTTTTTTTCACATTTTTTACATCTCTGAAATAGGAATGCCTCATACAATTGATGTGTCTTATAAACAGCAGGTGTTTTTTTTCCTTATTAGTGCATAAAATGGAAGTACTTCTTATAATTACTTCTTATGACGAGTGATAACTTATATTCAATCAATATGATTCATACCTTTTATATTAATGTTCTCCTTATTTAGTATAGCAAATTTTTTTGTAAAATTAAAAAAAATGAATGGGAATAAGGCATATATGTGTAGCTTATTGAGCATGATCTTACCTATCACAATTAGAAGGGGAGAAAAAAGGCCTAAAAATACGGAAGGAGAGGTAAAATAATTATTTCATGTACATTTACCTAGAAAAAAATCAGAATCAACTGAAGAATTATTTAACTGGTAAGAGGATTAAATGAGGTATCTGGATAAAAATTGAAATACAGAATAGTCTTCACTTATCCATAAAAAGGAGACTCGATGGCAACAGCTAAGCACTAAGCTGCGAACTGAAAGCTTGGCATTTTGAACCCACCCAATGGCTACACAGGACAAAGACTCGGTAATCTGCCTCCATAAAAATTATAGTCAAGAAAACCCTTTGTTGTTGTTGCTGTTATTTGCCATCAAGTTGGACCTGACTATCAGTGACCCTTCCTTGGGTTTCCGAGGCGCTATCGCTACAGAAGTAGATCGCCCAACCTTCCTTCCACGGAGTGGCTTGTGGGTTTGAACCACCAGCCTTCTGGCTAACAGTCAAGTGCCTTATGCTCTACTCTGTAACATGAGGTTGCCATGACTCAGAATTGACTCAATGGCACCTAACAACAGCAACAATCAAACAACAAGTGAGAAGTAATTCAGAACGTAAAAGAATGGCCTCTTTCTACAGGAGAAACTGCCAAAAAGCGACTGGATGCAGGTGCATGTATGTATATTTGTTAACTGACTGGGGGAAACAAGGATTCAGGTATATCACAGAGATAGATCATTTTGTGAGAAGTTTAGACACAGTTTCTAGGTTTCTAAAAAGTAAAAAAGCAAAGCTTGAGAGAGTCAGCAGTAGGAGGATCAGTGGAAAGGCAGAGTAATCTGGAGATGAGATGAGAGTGTTAGGCAAGGAGGAAAAAAAAAAAACAAGATCTAGCATTTTGGGAAGGTGATAAGGAATATGGTACAAACTTGCTGTTCCAGTTTTTGAGATACTGCAAGAACCCTTCCAAAAGAAAAAAAAACTCAATGCCATCAAGCTGATTTGATTCACAGTGACCCCTCCTTGGGTCTCCAAGGCAGTATCTCTATGCAAGTAGATTGCCCAATCTTCCTTTCGAGGAGTAGCCTGGTGGGTTTGAACCACCAGCCTTCTGGTTAGGGGTCAAATGCCTTAGGCACTATGCCACAAGAGCTTCCAAGAACCGTACACTGATGAAAATTTATTCTATTGGCCCTGAAGAACAAACTCTGCCTGGTGACTGACATAAGAAAAGAATAAAAATAGCCTAACAGCCAGTGCCAAGCATTAACATACATGCATACATATATACATGAGTATGTACATAAGGATGAGCTCTGATGGCACAGTGGTAAAGTAATTGAAGTGTGTGTGTATATATGTGTATGTATGTATGTACACATATATACACACACAGCCTTTTAAGCGTCAACACTGAAATAGGTTTTATTACCTTAACTTTACAAGAAAGGAAAGTGAAGATGCCAAGATACTAAGTAACAGGCCCAAGATTATCAGTCACCATTCATTCAATTCTGACAAAGAACCAACTTCAGCCATCATTGATTATGAGCAATGCCTCAGGCTTAATCCACCAGAAGTGGAGAAAATGTCCTACAGGGCTTACAAGTACCAGGCCCCTTGTTTGTGAGCCTCAGTGTTCATTTTACAGATGAGGATATGATGCAGACAGAGGTTGTATGATTTTTTTTCTGCTGAGTGATACAATGGAATCAGTGTCAGGGCTAAGACTAGGATCCAATTCCTTCATTCTCAATCCTTACCACCATGCACCACCTGATCAACCAGGAAATTTCACCACAGATAGAAGCATGTTAAGTGCTGCCTCTATTATTAAAATATCATTGCAGTCACTAAAATATTATGCCATTTATTTTAAATTCTCTCATCCAAAATGCTTTAGCATAATGCATTACTAAAAAGGAGAATTTCTGTTTCTTATTCTTTGGCAAATAATAATTTAGTTTTCCAGAGCTGTGGTGAGAAGACTGATTGCAAAAGTGGGGATGATAGAGGGCATTTCTTTTTTCCAAAGAAAAAGTAAGCTTTCTATTTATAATTATTTTTAACCAGTAGGAGATTTAAGTGGTAGGTAATGAACTGGCTATCATAACTTCTGTTATCTCCAGTAAACCATGTGCCTTCACGTCAATTCCAAACCATGGCAACCCTAGGTGTATCAGAGTAGAATTGAGCCCCAGAGGCCTTTCAATGGCTGATTTCTTGATGTAGACTACCAAGCCTTTTTTCCAAGATACCCAAGGTAGACTCTCAACCTTTCAGTTAAGCAGCCAAGTACATTAAACATGTGTACCACCCAGGGACCCCTCTACCATTTGGTTCCTAGGAATTGAACCAGATCCTAAGTATTACGCATCATTCTCAAACAATTTAAATTTTTCAAACCTATTTTCACTTCTGTAATTTGGGAGCTTGGGTGGTGTATTATCTAAGGCACTTGACTGCTAACCAGAGGACTGACAAGTCAAATCCATCAACCACTCCTCGGAAGGAAGACTGGGCAATCTACTTCTGTACAGGTACAGCCTCAGAAACCCAAGGAGGGGTCCCTATGAGTCAGAACCAACTAGACAGCAGTGAGTTTTGTTTTAGTTTTGAATGAAAGATATTAAAAAAAAAAAAAAAGCTATCAAATAAACTTAATTAGCAGATATTTTAGATAGAAATTTTGAAAATTCTTTTGACTTTGGAAAAGTCATGTCACTGTGTGAATTTATTTTTCTCTCATATTTCAAGTATGAAAAAGGGGGAGAGAGGGCTCTTATTAACTCCAAGATTATATTAAGTTTGTTGCAAAAAAAAATTTTAATGGACATATTACTTGAAAACTATACCTCATCTCAAAATTCGTTTAAAAAAAAAAGTTAAAAAAAAAAAATCAAACAAACATCCAGTAAGCAGAGAATTTATTGATATTCTTGACAAATCAAGAAATAACAGCAAAAATATATTAAATACAAATTCAACATTCATTTTTACTTTAAGAAAAATATATTAATATACTTGAAAAATAAGCCAACTTTATACTTCACAGTTAAGGTAATGACATTTAGGTAAAATATATTTAAAGTGTATTCTATTTCCTGTCTCAACAAATTCAGTAGGGTTTCATTTTATACATCATC